AAAAAAAAAAAAAATTTGCCAATTAGGTGAAGGAAATCTCATTTTAATTTGCAGTTTAAACAGTGAAATTGAACATCTTATGTTTTAAGTAGAATCACATTTTAACTTATCTTGAGTAACTTAATGTCAGGCCCTATTCAAAGCATTTCACGTATATTTTCTGTATTACCTAATAATGAGTGAATCTTATAAAGTAGGTGATACTATCCCCATTTTACAGATGAGAAATGGGGCTTGTTTAAAAGGCTTGCCCAAAATAATAGCTGGTAAGCATCAAGGTCATTACTTGAACCCCGGTCAGCCTGCTTTTAAAGACCATGCAGACACTAAGCTATATTGCCCAGTGAGTGTTGTGTATTTTATTGTCTGTAAATTTTGGGAAGAAAAGAGTTAAGTGGAAGAAAGAAAATAAAGTCCTACAAATACCTTTAGGGGACTACATTTTAGGATTCAGTGCACATTGCTTGAAATGAACAATTCAGGCTGCGCTTCTGTTCTTTTTTTTTTTTTAAAGATTTTATTTCTTCACTTGGACAGAGAGAGAGCACACGCAGGGGGAGTGGCAGGCAGAGGGAGAGGGAGAAGCAGGCGCCCCCAGGAGCAGGGATCCTGATGTGGGGCTTGATCCCACAGGATCAGGACCTGAGCTTTTAACTCACCGAGCCAAAGCCACCCAGGCACCCCTGCACTTGTGTTCTTCAAATTTGCTGCCTGTGATGGACTGCAGGGTGTATGCTGGAACAGCTTAACCATTCTCATTAGAGTTCAGTGTTAAATGTACTCTCAACCCATTTTCTCTGTTAAAATCATTATACATTGCATCCACTTTCAGTTTTCTTCTTTTGATAATTAGTGTTGTGTATAAGATAGTTTTTTGTGGGTTTGTTGTTGGTTGTTTTTGTTTTTGCTTTAATGAAACACATCCTTTTGAATTCCTTTAGCCTGTGTGCTCTTTTCTGTGGCTAGCTTGAGAAGCTGAGCCCTTCAGGTTTTCTCCATGAGCTGCTAATTTTTATTTGGCATAGCCAAAGAAGTATCAATTGTGCCTGGTTTTCATTTCTCTCAAACTGTGTCTCACAAAGCAGTAGTTACTTGAAACATGACTTTCAAGAGTGTCTGTTTATGCTTTCTCTAGGAATCCTATGGTAGATGAGTTGGGTCACCGGAGAACCCAGTGTTGAAAACTGTCTTGGTTTTTATGCTGTAGCAGTTCAGTTACACTGCAGTTGTCTGAAATCCCGAATGACCTAGAAATTTATGCCCTGTTACAACATACTACCTTGACAGTGACAATGCTTTGAGTTTCTGATTTTCTGATTTCTGTTTTTCAAAAATGAAACTCCTTATCTTTGTTAGATCTGCTCAGTTCAGCTTCCCAGCATTGATACATAGTCCCAACAATCAGCCCTGGAGACCAATTAAAATAAATGACCTGGTCAGGTAGAAAATATTGAAAGTATTGACAGGCATGTAGCAGAAATCTTGGAGCATTTGCAACAAATAAAAATAGGTACACACATTGGAAAGAAGGCAAAAAAGGAAAAGCAGTTATTAATGCCAGGAAAAAGTAAAGGATTGTACTAGAGAGGAAGGTTGCTTGTAATATATTTAAATCAGCAGTGAAGAATATTTTGTAATATGAAACTCGGCTTAAACCGGAATAGGTATTACTGGAAGGGGCAAGGGGAAGCTGGCAGGGGTGAACGTCTTGCAAGTGATAGGTCATGGCTGGAATAAACTAAGAAACAGCAGTAAAAGCATATTATTTAGAAATATTGTAAGTAAATACAAAGAGAAAGCTAAAAATAAAATTGAGGGTGATTGCTGGTAGGTGTTGGGGTGAGGAACTGCCCCCCCTTTTTTATAAGCCTTTTAAAAGCAGTGACTTTCAAAATTATATACATGGATAAGTTTGATTAAAAAAGCAACTACAGAGAGAATAAGTAAAGGGTGTTTAAGGACACACAAAAATACTCTGAGGGGTGCCTGGCTGGCTCAGTCGAGAGAGCATGGGACTTGATCTTGGGGTCGTGAGTTTGAGCCTCATGTTGGGTGTAGAGATCACTTAAAATTTAAAATAAATACTCTTGAGACTAATCTTCATATATATATGTATATTTTATATTTGCTAGAGCTCTGTCTTCCCTCTTTGCTTTTATATTTGCTAGAGCTCCGTCTTCCCTCTTTTAGAGCCAGCCGCACATGGGATATCGTAGGTATGGCCTGATAGAATAAACATTGGTTTGGTTGATTAGTTTACCTGCAGTAGAATGTTTGGCTTTCAGAATTTGAAGGACTTTTTATTACCAGGTGATTTCTTCCCTCCTTGGTAACACTCATTTCCTTCTTATCTTAATATTCCCATCTGGTTTACTGCTTAGTCCATTTGCAGCTATGCTTGATTAATGCCCCAATTGTTAACTTTAGAACAAAAGAATAATCACCCGTGCCCCTCAGATGAGCTTTTTGCTAGATGGTAATTATCCAAGAAGGGTGTCACTATAAATAATCTGTCCCCATTCTGCTACTGTCAGTGTTGTTTTCTGCTTTTATTTAGCCTGTATGAAAACACTAACTGAAAACAAGAATGGGACTTTATTTTCCTTTCCTTAGGCGGAGGTCTAGATTATGTCCGTGTTCAGGGCTGGAGATGGTATGCCCACAGCTCACCATCACGTAGTACACTACCTAAGGGTTTTTACAGAATCTTTACCTGCAAAATACAGTTTGGTTCATTTTAGAACCCCTCTGGCTCTGAGAAAAGCAGCTGTTGTCAGGGTAACTGTGAGAGGCTTCTGTTTGATTTACTGGCACCATCTCCCTGCACTTTCTCCAGATAAGGCATCTGGCAGCTCAGATTCTGAAAAACGGATTCCTTTCAAGCGTAGTTAGGACTTCAGCTTTGCTCCCTAGGGTAGTTGGAAATAATGTGGAGGCTGCTTCTGGAAATGCTGAACCTTGGACATCTATTTCAAGGACTATTGGGACTCCGAAGTCTTGGGGGTGTTCAGAGGAGAAGGGTGCCTTAGGCAAGAGCAGGTCTTCACCAACAAAAGGCTCTGACGCTGGATCTCCTTTTTCTGGTTACCTGAGCTTGCTAATCACAGTTTGGAAGTGATAGAGGGAGAGCTGCCTTGCTCAGAATAGCAAATTGAATTTAAAGAAGGAGTTCCGAGGTTCACTTTCTCCTGCTTTCCTAGGAGCAGACCAAGGGTTAGTTTCTGAGAACAGTTCAGGCAGCTCAGGACCAAAGCCGGAATTGCTTGCTTTTGACTGGATAGGGGACCCAACGTTTTCAGAAGACCAGAAAGCTTGGCGGGGAGAAAGGAAGGAAATGGGCCAGGCTACTGAGAAAAGCGGGGTGCCATCCCCAGGGCGAGGCCTTTCTTTGAGTGGACTGCATTTCGGGCCGGAGGAGCAGAGAGCGTAAGGGGCGAGGGAGGAAAGGCGGAGACTGAGCGGGTCTCCAGCCGGTTCCTGCACACCGCACACACCCAGCGGGAAGGAAGAGGAAGTGTGTTCTTGGACTAGCTCGAACGGCGGCCGCCATTGGCCGGCGGGGCTGTCAGTCGCCTGGGGGCTGAGACTGCGAAGAGGAAGGAGGCGATCGGGGCTCCTGCCTGCGAGCGAGGGAGGCGGGCCGAGCCAGGCCGAGCCAGGGGGCGTGGGGGCTGGGGCGGCAGGCCGATCGGCAGGGCGGGGCTGCCTTCGGTGCTGGCCACTTCTCTCACCCATCCCTCTTGTGATTCAGGGTGGCATTGTGTGTCCCGGAGTGCACGAGCGAGTCCCGGGAGAGCGGCGAGGCCGAGCCCAGAGCGCTGGGTGGCTTCGGCAGGGAAGACTCCCTTCCCCCGGCTTCAGGCTGCTGAGCCCTGAGCAGCGCTCAGAATGGAAGCCATCGCCAAATATGACTTCAAAGCTACTGCTGACGACGAGCTGAGCTTCAAAAGGGGGGACATCCTCAAGGTAAGTGTGATGCCACGCAAATGCTGAGATGGCCTCCTCTTGTACTCACCTACCTTCGTTTGCCCTGATAACACACAAAGAAGCCGAGCGCGTCCTTTCTCATTGCCCACTTTTCCCATTTACCGTGGGGCAGGCTCTGGATAGCTGACAGAGATACTGAGTGGAATATTAAATATGACTTAAGAGGGTTGGTGTGATGTATGGCCTTTAACTGCCTTTGTGTGAATGCCTCGAGTATTTCTATTGCTTGTTGGTTGGTAATTCAAGTAAAGTCAAAGCAGCATGAGTGTATGAGTAGACTGATCTTGTAGTCTTATTAAGCATTGGGGGATTTTTTTTTTTTAAAGACTTAAACTTGAAGTATTTATGTAAAAGCACTCAATTAGTCTTACTTTACCTAGTCAAAAGATTTTTGCAATCCAGAACCTGATGCTAGTTGCTTAGAAATGAATTTCCTCTAGTTTAGAGAGGTGGTTAGAAGTATATGCCAAAACTCATTAAAGAACCTCAGTGTCTTTTAATTCTTTGTGAAAAAACTAGTGGAGTTCTAAATCCTAAGGTTCATCTTGCTGTTGTACGAGTCAGATGGCGATTTTCTTAAAAGAAACTTGAGCAATTACCCTGTATTACACTCTAATTGCACAAAAGAAACCTGCTGACAGTTTAAAAATAAGCTGCTTTCCAGTTTGCAGCTCATTCTGAGCCCAAACTATTTACTTGAGGATTCACTTTCCACCTGGCACATGGTAATTATGTTGTTTACCCAATTGACGGCAGCAGCTTGCCCTTTTGGATATGTAATTTATTTTTACAAGGGTGGGTGTTATTGAATAATGTGTCAGCTCTACAGGAGGAGAACCTGAAGTTTAGCGTTTGCATATTCCATGTTCATGGCCTCTCAAGTTCTGACATTTTTTCCTCAGAGGTGTTTGTAGTCTGATGGTTGAGAGTTTGCCACACATTTGTTTACTACCCCTGAGTGAAATTATTAAAATTTTACAAAGAGGAAGAAAGTGGAAATGTAGAAATGTGGTCCCTTATAAAAAGACCGCTGATTTTTTTTCCCCTTTTTTGAGTCTTGCCGACCTGTGGGTAGTTACTATTTTGCTCTCCTTGCCTGAGACATAGAGTTCCACTCTGAAGTGTGTTGATGTTAGAAATGTAGGTTGTACTTCCTAGAAGGCAATATTCAAGAGTCCTTTAAGGGGAACGAAAGTGTTTTTTTCAGAGCTGTTCTTGTGATGCCAAGTTTCCCGAGGATATTCTCAAAGTCAGCACTGAAGTGTCAGAAAGCAGACAGAACCAGCTGTAGGTTTTAGAGTAACATACGTTTTCTGTTTCTATTTTCTTAGCTAGAAGTCAGAGCAAAGGAGCAAACTTAGACTGTTAAATTACTCTGTATCGTTGGTGTACAGAGGAGTAATTTGATGTTTCCATAGGTGATTACTGTTTTCAGCAGATAAACAGTCTTGGTATCATCATAAGATTGGCTACTCAAATATTGTACACCTGAAACTAATATAACACTGTATGTTAACTATAATGAAATTTAAAAAAAGATTGGCTGCTCAGGTACTCACGTCTGTAGCCTCTACAAAAATCTTGTGGGAACAATTCCCCCCCCCCAATGCAAACTTGGGTTTCTCCATTAAGCTCACCCAAGAAACTTGAATCTGGAAGCCTGGTAGTTCATATTTTTCTCTAAGTTTATCCCATTATGTATTTAGCACTAAAGCAACAAAACGAAACTAAGGATTTGAGCTCTATTTTTAATAATTTTTAGGCAAGAACCTTCCCTGTTACCACTGAAGTTTATCCTAGACCTAGACCATGAGCATCTCATAAGTTCTCCAACTTAAATTGGCAAATTCTTGAACAAGTGTGAAACCCTTCTCTCCCATCCTATAATTAGAGAAGATGATACTGTTTAACATTCCCCCAGAAATTGTTCTGATGGGAGAGAGAGTGAGTCAGAGTGTTCACATTTACTTCCAGATTTTCTTTGGGGAGAGAAAAGTGCATATATTTGGTTCTTTCCAATTTGGTAGATAACTGGCATATGAAGTCATAATGTCATTATTACTTTTGAATGGTGACTGACCGTTAGCTATTTATTAGTAATCTTGTGGCTTTACTCCAAAAAAAAAAAAAGTGACGATACAGTAGTTGCCCTTTGTCTCGAAATTCTGTGAAACAGCTGAGTGAAAAGGAGGGACATTGCTTTGTCTTAAGAGCTGTTATTTTAAAAAGCAGTGTTTCCTTCATTTGATTGTTCAAGGAGTAACTGGTTTCATTTGAGTGGCTTTGATTTGATTTGATAGCTCTTTAGGATGTTAACTGTGAGCCAAAACTTGTTTAGAAGTGGCTGGCATAGCATTGACCAGTTTGACTTGAATGAAATAGGCCTATGTTTGCTCTCTCTCGATAAGGGGAGGCATGTACACGTGGGTACTGAATGCATTTTATTTGAAGATAATGCAGTAGCAAGGGGCTTGGTGCTCTACCTCTGACTAGAGTTGAAAGGGATTTACTCTTCTCACTGTCTTGGAGCTCCTGGTTAAATTTGGTTAATGTGTACCCCATCTTCCAGCAGGCCACTTGCTTACTTTCCATCTACACATTGACTTGTGCTGCCCTGAGAAAAGAGAGATAAATAAAAACATTTTGCTGGAAGCCTAAAATAGAACTGAATGCTTCAGTATATCTGCTTTTGTTACTGTTCCTCTTATAAAAGCGTGTGTTTTTTGGAGGGGAGGAAGAGAAGGGCATTGGGGCAGAGAAATGGAAGGAATTGCTCTTCTGTCAGAAGTTTCAATCTTGCATGGCCAAAATGAACCTAAATTTCCCTGCTGTTGTACTGTAGGCTTCAGATAGTTCCAGGGGTTCTCCACCAAACCAGGCCTCTGAATTCTCTACCCTAGAGCACAGAATACATCTGAACTTACCTTAAAGTCAAATCTGTTTAGGGGCTTATGTACCCATACTTCAGACAATGCTGTGTACAAATTAAGTGACCGTTTTGAGCTCTCAAACCTGTATTCATTGCATTCAAGAGCCGGCAGCTTGTTTTCTATCAAGGCAGACCTTTAATTCTAGAAAAGAACCAACAGTGGATCATCTCAGTGTCTTCTGCTTGTCTGGCACTAACTGCCTTTATCAATTTTCAGTACTGATTTAGAATAGGTCTTGGGGGGTGCCTGGCTGGATCATTCGGTGGAGCGTTCGTTCAACTCTTGATCTCGGGGTTGTGAGTTCGGGCCCCATGTTGGGTGTAGAGATTACTTAAAAATCTTAGAAAAGAAGAGAAATAGGTCTTGGGTTCACACTCGGCTCTTTGAAGCTTTCTATCTTGGTGCTGATGACCTGTTTTAATGTCACATTTACTGAGCATCTCCTTGAGCCACATCCTGGGATAAGTTGCTTTGAGAGTTGGGGAAGAAATACTTTCTTCCTTGAGGAACTCTAAAATCAAATAAGAGAAGTGAAATTAATATGTGAAGCAGGATATGGCAGTATACAAAATTAGAGGATTTTTAGAACAGGAGAAGAACTTTTAAAATCTCTTAATTTCGATTTTTATTATTTTTTAGATGAGGAAATGGCCCGTAGAGGTTAAATGATCCATCCAAGATCACAACTATTAGTACTTAGTAAGGAACTGGTATTGCACGGGATGCTGAGTTGTGTCACACACTGTAACTGTCAGAGTAACGTAGGAAGGGCAGTGACTGGTAAGAGCTGACGTCTGAGAGTGCTGTGTGGGGTGTGATTTGAACTGGCCCTCGCCAGAGGGATGGGAGGGGGCGGGGGGGTGCTAGTTGTGTTTGAAATAGGAACGCTAGAATGGGGTCATTGACTGTGCCATCGTGGAAAAGAAGGTAGAGTTGGAGTGAGATAAGAAAAACCAGTAAGAATTTGATCTTGTCCTTAAGAAGCCTTTGCAGGCTTTTAGCTGATGATGGAAGTGTTCTGGGATAGGAGGGAAGCCTGGAGCCCCAGCCTGCATAGGTGCTGGAGACTAGGAATGAAGGACGGGAGTGGAGGGTGTTGAGAGATGCTGAATGGACAAATAAGGGGATTTCTGCCTGTCAGCTGGGGACATTGGAATAAATCTGTGTAACTGAGAAATGAATGCCCACTGAGTATGTTCCTGAGAGCCAGGAATCAGAACTGGGGTTTGATTGGTAACAGTTTTCATAGCAGCCGGAAGTCCTGAATTTGAGTACAGGAGTCTCCTTTCAGGTGTTTGAATGATTAAACCTAAAAATGGGGTTGGTGTGGGTTGTTTTGTTGTTTTGTTTTTTTCATGATTTCACATTCATTGTACTTGGTAGGAGCATTTCTCTGCCTGTTGATAAGAATTCTTGGAGCGCCTGGGTGGCTTAGTTGGTTAAGCATATGCCTTTGGCTCAGGTTGTGATCCCGGGGTCCTGGGATCAAGCCAGGGACCCTGCTTACCCCACCCCTGCTCATGCTCTCTAATAAATCTTCAAAAAAAAAAAATTCTTACCGATCTTGACTAAATCCAGAATTTTGCATTTAATCTTTATGAATGAGGATGTTGTTTGAATTCTCTTAGAACAGATAATTTACCTTTCACTATATTCATTTTTTACCCCTGTCATCTGAATGGACAGTTTCCAAATAGGTGCTAAGAATGAGCTTTCAGTTCCTATACAAGACTCCTTTGGAGGGCCTGGCTAAAGACCAGTCATCCCTGTTAGAGAAAGAAATGAGTAAGGAAATGCAATGTTCCTTTGGGGATCTTTCAGTTTTCACCTCTGTAAGCCATTATAGTTGAAGTCATCCTTGAATAGCTATCATTTATGGAGCATTTACTATGCCACAGAGTTTGACATTATTTCTAATTTGCTTCATGAAAGGTTGGCCCTCCTTAGCCTCATCCTGTGGCTGCAGAAACAGACACACAAGAAATTTGCTCAGATTGACACATGTAGTAAGCGGCGAAGCTGGGCCTTGATCTTAGGTCTGGCTCCCAT